AGTCCCTTACTGTAATGAGCTTCCGTATTTGCCGGCGTTAAGGCCAAAGCGCCGTATAGGTCGCACCCCCTGATTTTGACTTTTCGTAGACTGAAAAAAGAAACGAAAGAAAAAAAAACAGGGGGTAAGGTGCAACCCCGGTGGGTTCACTCCCTTGCAGAGGATGACGGGTATGACCGTTACCACAAATGCAAATGACCCCCTTTTGCAGCCAATTTCAAGGACATTTTGTGAAATTTATCCCCCTTTTTAACGTTAAAAACAAGGACAAGACACTTATACTTTTTTTTCATTAACATAAAGGATCCAAGACACGAATCCTTGAATTACAAGTTCATAGTTCTCGGTACCATGGTTACCATGAATCTTTGTCCAAATAAGAACTATCATATTGCTCCGATTGTCTCATTTTCGCTCGCGTGAACATTGCCAGCACAAACCACTGACCTCTACCTCCTGAACGGATCATCGCCCATTCCTATTCACTATACGTTACGTACTAAAAGGCTGTATTGTCTGACCGTTCATGAATATTCATGTTTTTGCTAAACTCGGCAAAATGTTTGCTTTTACTAAATGGAAAAATTACGGTGGGGGGGGGGGGGGGTTGGATGAAATGGACATAATAAAATAGGCAGAAGTGATCTATGATAATTCATGCTTTTTATGTTTCGTGTGCTCGACCTATAATCTTCAAATCGCTTGGTAAACTGAGTCCAAAGTTAGACTTGTTTCACATGTGTATTATAGGCAATGACTAGCTTACAACCAATTTTGAAAAATTACGGTGGGTGAACTTTCAAAAGTCAATGAGACATGAGGGCTCCAAAGAAAGAGATAGTGATAACGTACGTCGGGGTGGATGTGCTTTTCGTTAAAACAAAAATTGAATTTTCAACGATTTAAAAAAAAAAACGTCCATAGGCTAACATGTTAGGCTGCTGACTCTGACAATGCTCTGACGATAGGGGGCGTTGTGAAATGAGACTAAACGGAGCCATATGGGTAACCATGGTTCTCGGCACCATGGTTACCATGGATCTTTGTCCAAATTACCAACCTCCATAAGAACCATGTCAACCATGGTACTGAAAACCCTGGTAATACCATGGTACATGGTACTTTTTTTTTTTTTTTTTTAAATTTGTGAAATTGTGCGTTTAATCCCGCCCACTAATTTTGCATCTATGCACTTGCACGTTGACCAGCGCAGCAGCAAGGATACTGATGGGCTATAGTCCAGTAGAAATAAAATAAAAATTATGTACTTACAGTCTTGCAATTTAATAAGACAGCTGAAAAACCATATAAAAAAGTTCTATTTCAAAGTAAACATAAAATTCAGCCACCTCATTTTTTAAATTATTATTTACGATTGGATCAAATTTAACAAATTAACTGCAGGGTAACTCCGGTTGAGGCCACCATGCACCAGGTAGCTCCGATGCAGTGCAGGGGGTCCCCTGGGCAGAGCTGAGGCGGTGGAGCTGCTCCATAGGCATACTGTGCTGCCAGGGCGCCTTATAGGCTATAGTTCCACTGATTTCTAGATATCCTTTACGGTTGAATGAGTTAGGGCGGTATGTGTGCTCTGCTGCGTTCTTTTGATTTATTCTAGCATATTGACATCAATGATGCTAATTACCATGGTAAATCATGTGGCCGGCCCGGTACGTATTCGGTACGTGCATATTATATTGCATACAGGGGCGTCGCTAGACCTTTTTCAGTGGGGGGGGGGGGGGGGGGGGGGGGGGTTGTAGAGGCCAACGATCAACGATTACCGACAAAACTAGCCACCAATTACCGACAAAATTAAATATCCCAATATCTACAAATTTAACCCTATAAACCCGGGGCCGAAGGCTAAATTGTTTTTCCTATAGACTATCTATAGTAATTGCGTACGCGCAAATGATCATTTTCCTCGACGACATAAATATACGAATTATTTCGTCAACTTGGTCAACATCAAAGCTGTATATTTTAATGCAGGTGCGGAGCTAGGATCTTATTTTAGGGAGGGGCGGTAGTGAGCAAGCGAAGCGCGCTCATTAGGGGGGTGTCGGTGTTAGGCCTCCCGCACGAAGCGTGGAAGCTTAGAAGTTTCCTTAAATTATTAGGAAAAGAAGACGATTTGTTGTACCGTTCTCGACGCTAATCCTTGTCTAAATTCAGTTTCTCCCCCTCCCGCACAAAGTGCGGAAGCTTTGACGTTTCATTAAATTATGAGAAAAAGCAGACGATTCGGTGTTCTGTTCTCGACTCTTAATCCTTATCTGAAATAAGTTCTGCCCCTCCCGCGCGAAGCGCGGAAGTTATGGCGTTCTATTAAATTATTAGAAAGTAGACGATTCGTTGGACCGTGCTCGACTCTTAATCCTTGTCTGAATTCAGTTTCTCCCCCTCCCGCGCAAAGCGCGGAAGTTATGGCGTTTCATTAAATTATTAGAGAAAGTAGACGATTTGTTGAACAGTGCTCGACTCTTAATCCTTGTCTGAATTCATTTTCTCCCCCTCCCGCGCAAAGCGCGGAAGCTTTGACGTATCATTAAATTATGAGAAAAAGCAGATGATTCGGTGTCGGCCTACTATTCTCGACGCTTAATCCGTATCTGAATTCAGTTTTGCCCTTCCCGCACAAGTTTTTACGTTTCATTAAATTATTAGAGAAAGTAGACGATTCGTTGAACCGTGTTCGAGTCACAATATTTCCACGATATTCCACTATTATTATAACCACCATTGATAAATATAGGGGCATGCGGAATGTATAGGAAATTTAATTCCTGTTTACTTTCCTTTTCTCTGAATGGAATATAATTTGTATGTGATTCAATTCAGGTTCTTTTTATTGTAATGTTCTTTTTGGTTAAAAAATACAAATCATCTTTACTCTTTTACTGCTTTTTTTAAGGGGGCGTTTTGCCCCCCCCCCGCCCGCCCCCACTCCCGGCGTCTATGGTGGCTTAATCCCAGTAGATAACATCGATTGATCGATCTGTAACTAAAAAGTAAGTCAGCCTTGAATCTGCATCTTGTGCTTGCCAGGCAGCGACTCTACCACCAGGCCATCACTGGTCCATGGCACAGTCCTGCTGGTTCCAAGATTTTTTCTGACTTGTTTTTCAATTACAGATAGACTAATCGACCTTATTTACTGGGTGTAAGCCACAAATATGACTAAATAGTTAATATTTCTCACAAGAAGCATAAAATAATTAATCATTGATGAAAATACTTCATGGTAACAAACGGTAACAAACATTGAAATACATTAATACATATCACTATCAATTCGTATCACGCTAAAAAAAAAGTAAGGTGATTTACTCACCAGTAAATGGGTCTTCAATGCGGTCCACTGAGGTGGGAAAAAGATAGGAATTAATATAAAAATTCAATCTTGTTAAAGAAAAGTGTATCACAGTCAGGTGGAATTCTGCGTAGCTAGGAGTTGGGGGAACTGTTCGGAATAGTTTCAAAAGCGAATGGTAAATCCAGCAACATCGAGTAAATTAATTTGCAAACTCAGGAGGTTTATTACGATTGTTTAATGAATGTCTGGGTGTATTGGCTGTGGACAGATTGACCGAATGAATGACTGTCGAATTTAATCGAACGCAAAGTGTATCACAGTCAGGTGGAATTCTGCCTATAGCTAGGAGTTAATGGGACACTTCGGAATAGTTTAAAAAGCGAATGGTAAATCCAGCAACATCGAGTAAATTAATTTGCAAACTCAGGAGGTTTATTACGATTGTTTAATGAATGTCTGGGTGTATAAGCTGTGGACAGATTGACCGAATGAATGACTGTCGAATTTAATCGAACGCAAAGTGTATCACAGTCTGGTGGAATTCTGTCTATAGCTAGGAGTTAATGGGACACTTCGGAATAGTTTAAAAAGCGAATGGTAAATCCAGCAACATCGAGTAAATTAATTTGCAAACTCAGGAGGTTTATTACGATTGTTTAATGAATGTCTGGGTGTATTGGCTGTGGACAGATTGACCGAATGAATGACTGTCGAATTTAATCGAACGCAAAGTGTATCACAGTCAGGTGGAATTCTGCCTATAGCTAGGAGTTAATGGGACACTTCGGAATAGTTTAAAAAGCGAATGGTAAATCCAGCAACATTGAATTGAACGGCTGTTGTAAATCAAATACAATGTCACCACATCAGCGCTCTCTGAGCTAAGTAAGAATCCAGCAGACTGATATGAAATGGAGAACTTACTGATTCGGACAAACAGGTGATGAACAGGATCGCTAGATGGGTCAACAGTCAAGTCATTCTCCTCACTGAGATGGCACTTGCTTAAGGATGGAGTATAGTCAAACGATCTACATATGAAGCTGGAGGCTGACACACAGGCCGTGGCGCATTCTTCAACCGTGATGCTAGACAGGACTGCGTTGTTGTAACCACTAAGATGCCTTTCTTTGATGAACATGAAATCTGTACGACCCGTCACAAGGACTAAGGAATGGAAAGAAAATACGAAGCACAGGGTCAGTGTCATTTCACCAAATATTTTACCAGAATGGTAATCCCTGATTTTTATATCATCGGGGTCACTATCAGTATCATCTGCATTGTCGTCGTCGTCGTCATCATGGACATCATCATCAGCATAATAATAATCATCATAATCGTCATCATTATCTCCATCATCGTCATTATATTCATCGTTCAAATCATTATCTGCATTGTCAACGTAACCATCATCTCTATGATCTTACATTTATAATAACCACCATTTCTTGGAGCGCAAATCTAATTTAGTTTCATACAACTTCTCTTTCTGGGAGTCATAGAGCCAGATACGTTTATTTCCAACCTGTTTTACAATTAGGATAAGAAACTTTGACGAAGCTATGTAATAATAAGTGATAGTTTTCATATAAAAACTTACAAGATTCATCTCCCTTGCAGTATAATGGTCCTAGCGTATAATACCCGTACTCGCTGGTGCTTCCTGTGTCACCAAACCTCATTTCAGTAACAGGTAAAGAAGTCTTATCGGTAAGATACCCGAGTCCTCTCTCCAGGTATTGTCATTGGTATCGCAGTTGCATGGGTGACCGTTGGTACATGAACCTGAAAGACGAAGATCAAGATCCATTCGTTCATAACTTATCTCGATGGGATATGTAGGTTCTTCATTTCAAATAAAACGTATTTATATGTTTCTCCGATGTGCTTGATTTTTTGCTTTAGTGCGCAAAAAGCTACAATATTGACAACTGTTGCAACACCAATTTTCCAGTTTATGTAGGTCGTTCATTTCCAATTAAACATATCTACATGTTTTTCCAATGTGCTACTTTTGCTTTAGTGTACAAAAAGCTGCAATGTTGACAACTGTTGCAACGCGAATTCTTCGGTTTATGTTATGGACTAGTACTTCACTATTTGAGATAATGTATTACAATGCCATTACTCCAAGACGCTGAAGTTGGGGGGGGGGGGGGGGGGGGGGCAGGGGGACAATCGGCCCCAACCCCAAAAGTGGGGGGGGGGGGGGGGGGGCGCAAAACGCAATTTTGCCCCCCTAAAAAAAAAGAAAAGCAGAACGACTGGGCTCGGAGGCTCGAGCCCCCTCGCGTTTTGAAATAGTATGTTAAAGAGAAAAAGAAAGAAAGAGAGAGAGAAAAAATAAGTGACCTGCCGATGTAACAAATAAGGTATCAAAATATGCTCATCTGACCGTAAGTAAATGCATAAAACCCCAAAGCTTACGAGGGCTCCGCCCCCGGACCCCACCAAGGGCTCTTAGGCGGTTCCCTGGATGCTCATCTGACCGTCATTAAATACCTAAAACCCCCGAGCTTCCGGGCGTATCCAGGGCCCGCCCCCCCCCCCCCCTGGCAAAAAAAAGGGAAGATATATATATATATATATATATATTTTTTGTGGTAAAGAAAGCGAGAAAAAAAAGGTGTTCCCCCCTCACCCTTCCCCCTTAAGCCACTGAACACAACATCTGACGACGTAATTTTCCAATTACCGGGGCAAAAAAAAAAAAAAAAAAAAAAAATTGCTGTTAATTTAATGCCTAAAACCCTGAGCTTCTGGGGGCTTCTACTACCTGGATAGCACCTAGGGCCCAAAGTCAGGCGACTGGATGCTAATCTGACGGTAATTTAATGCCTAAAACCCCTGAGCTCCTGGGGGCTCCACCCCCTGGACCCTACACCAATTAATGACTTACCAGTAACACAAATAAGGTATCAAAATACTTGCTCATCTGACCGTAATTAAATGCCTAAAACCCCTCGACTTCCGGTGGCTCTGCCCCCTGGACCCCACCTAGAGCCCTAAGGCGGACGGCTGGATGCTAATCGGACCGTAGTTAAGTATCTATAAAAAAAACTCTGAGTATCCCCCCCCCCTCCCCCCATCCCAAACTGCTTCCGGTGCGCCTGGCATTACTGCTGTTGCATTCATGTGAGATAATCCCATTCCATTCAGTGCAGAAAATCAATATACAGAGTTTGAGCAACACGGTTCTAGTTAGTTACAATATTGCGAATACTGCTTTGTCGAGGGCTAGCACAAAAGAAATAAATAAAAATACGCCATGTTGTAGCCAACTGATGCCAAGTTGGCCAAACTCTGTACACGGATGGCTCTGATCCTGTAAGCCAAGGACGCCCTCTATGATGACCTACAGTCATACCTGAGATTCCACAAGCGCACTGTCCGCTGTCTACCGTGGCTCCACCCCAGTAGTTCTTCTGTTTTCCGTCTCTGTCATACCAAGCAGTATAGTTAGTTATTAAGGAATGATGGCATTCGTACTAAGACGGTGATGGAAGAGGAAAATAAAAAGAAGAAATATTTTGATTTGATTTGATTCGGTTTATTGAAATAAAAGAACATGCAGCTGGGAAGCTGAAATTATTCAATTTACAAAGTCAATATACAACACAATAAACGATCAAAATATGAACAAAATAAAACGTACGACTATAAATCATGCATAATGAAACAAAATGAGAATCAAATATTACATCAAAATATAAATATATTACAAACATTAAATCAAAATCTAAATATATTACGAATATTACATCAAAATCTAAATATATTACAAATATTACGTTAAAATTTAAATATATTACAAATATTACAAACAATAAAAACCTTCTGTGTCATCAAAAAAGTAGAGAGAGAGAGAGAAAGAGAGGGAAAGAGAAAGACGGAACTAGAAAGAGGAATAGAAGGAAGAAGAAAAAGAAAGAAAATTTGATCAGGGAATATACGACAGATTGCAGGAAAGGGGTAGAGAGGGTCAGAGTAGAACAAGAACAATATAAAGAGAGAAGAATCTCTGCCAAGTGCACTCAAGTTGAAATATGATTTAAAAAGTAAAATGACAGATTTAAAAAATATGAAAAAATATAAAAAATGAAATGTGTTTGACATTATAATATATCAACGTCATTTTAAACAATTCGTTAAAGTCAAAAGAGTAAAGTTATGCCAATCCCGCAACACATCAAAGTTCAATGCAAATAATTTTGTAACTCAAAGGGATTATATGTAGATTTATAAAAAAAAATATTACCTTTAGATTGCTGTAAATCTGCGATCACAGGAAAATAGGTAATGTTGAACCCTAGATATGATGTAGCATGTCATATCGCGTAATATTAGATAGCTTAGACAGATACCGAGATGTGTTTGGTCCAGAGCTCGTCACGTGATTGTGAGGATCCAAATTGTTATATTTTCTTGGCCGGTCACTTTTCGGTGTTATATAAACTAGCTGGTGAAATGAATATATTTTTAATCAATGCATGTCGCCCTCTTAAAGACTGTATGTCACCAATTACACACATTTCACCATTACCAAGGGTAATTGTATTTTTTTTCAATATTTTTTTTTTCATGAATTTTTTTTCCCCTCTAAATTATTTTGTCCACATTTTTTTCTCCCCAATAAATGCTGTTTGGGGTAAGATTTTTTTTTTTTATCGATTTTTCTTTTTTTTTCTTTTTCCCTTTAAATTCAATTTTTTTTTTCCCAAAATATTTTTTTTTAAAGAATTTAGTTTTTTCTTGAATTATCTCGAAATATTATTTTTCTCAATTTTCTTTTTTGTTTGCACTTCTTTTTCTAAAATGTTGATTGTCCCCTTAGAAAAAAAAAATGTCACCAATTACACACATTTCACCATTACCAAGGGTAATTGTTTTTTTTTCAATATTTTTTTTTCATGAATTTTTTTTCCCCTCTAAATTATTTTGTCCGCATTTTTTTTTCTCCCCAATAAATGCTTTTTGGGGGTAAGATTTTTTTTTTTTTTCGATTTTTCTTTTTTTTCTTTTTCCCTTTAAATTCTATTTTTTTTTCCCCAAAATCTTTTTTTTTAAAGAATTTAGTTTTTTCTTGAATTATCTCGAAATATTATTTTTCTCAATTTTCTTTTTTTTTTGCACTTCTTTTTCTAAAATGTTGATTGTCCCCTTAGAAAAAAAAAAAAAAAAATGAAAACAATTTTGGGAAAAAACTAAAAAATCAAACCAAGGCTATCTAATATAACAGTTATTGACTGGCAGGGGGGTATAAAAAAAGTGGAAAAAATGATTAATTAAGTAGACATTCCCTTTTTTACGTTTAATTTCTCATAGAAGGTCTATTTTTATATATATATATATATGTAATTTTACTAAAGGCGTCATTGGAGGGACATTTGGAGAGAATAAATGAGTCATTAAGTAGACATTGGGGTTAGGATTAGGGTTAGGGTTAGGATTTTTAAGATGTCCACTTAATGTACTATGTAGGGTTATTTATATATATATACCATCAAGGAACTTTGAGAAAAAAGTAGAAACCTCGGTGTTACCCTACCTTGATATATTGGTAGCACTCCCCGCTGATATCGGCACCGGTAGCCACTTGATCAACCGACTTATCACCATAGGTAATATTTCGGACGAAACTAAAAGCCACTTCTGCACCTGTTACCAAAGATCGATTCGCCTCCTGGTGCTCGAACGTCGTGATTCCTAGCCGAGATAACCAAGACAAATTGTAATAATAATGAGTAAACACACGGACAATATCTTTATGAATAGTAATACATGACCGATTCGTGACTACTTTAACTAATAATTTATCGTTGATATGTTACCTGTGCTAGCATCCGTAGTCATATCACAGTATACTCTGTATGGATCGACTCCATTATTTCTCCCATCAGGATCTATTGTGTAGTATCCATTAGATGTATAGCCTTTACGCTTCCATTCAGCACAGGAAACTGATCAAGAGAAAGGAACAGGAAGGGAGAGTAAATAATTATATCAAGGATTTTTTTCTTCGGTCCTACTCGGACATGAATTTTAAGTCATCATGGTATAGCTATTGATCGATGAGTTAAGTGAAAATGAACCTCTTACTGATCCTGGATTTACAACAAACAATAAATGACATAATTAAGTAAAAAGACATTATTTCACTTTATTTTCATCTATATCATTATAATTCAGCAGATAGGCTACACTAAGCAATAGAGCTAGTCTAGAGCTAAGAGACCTTGTTTAACAAGGTGGAAAGTTCACTAAAGCAATTTATATGTATAACGTTGAATTATACTCGAAACCTGAGTCATAGAGACCATATATTAATTGCAAGCACTCTGGATCTGATTATAGAGTGTAACTTACTGGTGTTTAGCGGGTATTTACAGATGTAGCCGTATGTTGACGAGCAGCCTGCATCATACCATGTGCCGTCTGAACTCCTTCGTAATACACCACAATGATCAGATCCACCAGCTAAATTAAGAAATAACAATATCAGAACTAATGAGCTTAGCTTATAGGCGATATGTAATATTTGATTTAAAAACTGTCGTTGCGAAACCTGCTCCAGTAATAATTGCTCCGCGATCAACATCCTACCCTAATCGAACCCTGCAACAAAAACCAACATACAAGTATACTCTTACAATACAATTTAAACTAAAATTCTAGTGTAACCTAAACCCAAGCCTTTATTCTATATCTTTGACGAATCACAGTGCGGAGAAATTTTGTAGGAGCGCCACGATGGTACCTTCAGAATTGTGTTCAGTGATCAATAATGTATTATTATAAATGGAAAGAAGTTAAGCTTGAATAAATTATGCTTATATATCAGTCTTTATCGGAGGGACATCCACGCCTACCATGCCTAGCTTACTATTTACTTACATGGTTCTCCAGAATACCAGTTGGTATAGGATGAAACTGAGCCATCAGTCCAGGCCCAAGTTCCCTCTTCATCGAGGTCATTGAACCCAATCCAGTAATAATTCGTATCAAAGGTGCGTCTGTGTATTTGATCAATAAAATGTTTCAAAAAGTTATACAATCCTTTCATAGTAATGCCCTTGATAGAATCATGATACAGTACTGATCTAGGAATGTGGTAGCTTAAATTTGTAGCGCGTTGTATTTGAAAACAGATGTTTTACCATATTTATATGGCTTCATATCATGAATCTAAAAAGGAATTTTGTTCTTGAACAACGAATTTGACGTAATGTCAGATTAAAAGCAAAGTGCAATTTGGTGCCCTATCATCGGCTCCGATCTGTGTGATGAAACTGTGATGGCGTTTGAGCCCCTGAGCATACTCGTCCACAGGCCACGCTCCTTTTGTGCTTGTGGGTGAAAGGTGGCATGGGAGGGTACGCGGCTAAAGGTGTGCCTGTGCGTGTGGGTGAGGGTTGCTGCCAACGGAGTATTCCATGCTGTGGCTCTTGTATTCGAGAAGTGAGGTCTGGGGGTAGGGGGCTTACCTCAATAATGCGAGAGTAAAGTTGCTTTCGTCTTGATCAGCTACGCTCGCCAGATCACCGTAGTCATTGAGATTTCTGCACGCATCAAGGGCTGTAGTATAGTCGACGGTAGATTCAACTAGTTGGTAGCATGCATTACCGTTACGTGTCCAACCAGCGTCACACAGATCCTGATCACTTGTACCATCATCTAGATGATATATTGTACAAATTCAAATCAAGTTGTCTATACAGTAATTGCGTAATTTCTGTAAATTTCTACGATTCTTTTGATAAGGGACTTATCTTTCATTTCTATAGTTTCATTTTTATACAGGTAGCCCAACCTTATTGATAATGCATGTCATTCGCACTGGCTTAGACGCAGAGGACTTGTCCTTCAAAGGAATTTATTTCCGATACGCGATAACCTTGAAAATGTTTCCGTCACGTCTTATGACAATGACCTATGACTGTGCCAAAATTGAAAGAATTGACTGAACCGATCTTGAGTAATCGCTTGCACAAAAAAGTGGAGAAATTAATATAAAGAAATAAAGAAAGACAATTTTGACGAAATCAATAGGTCAGTCGTTAACAGACCCCCTAATTACCAAATGAGCTGGACAGAGGAATACAAGAAGAATCAGAATGCATGCACTTGGAAGAATAGGGGATAGTAAGGAAACATGGTAGGGGTGAAAAAGAATACAAAGGGCAAAGGGAAGAGCTAGAGAAAGTTAAGGAACATTACAAGACATAATAGAGGTAGAACAAGAAGCAGAGGCGGGAAAGGGAGAGGGAGAGAGAGAGAGAGAAGAAAAAGAGACGGAGAGAGGCAGAGGATGACATAGCAAGAGAAGAAGAGAGAGGCAAGGCAATAGAGGTAAAGGGAGACAAAGAGAAAGGGAGAGGGTGAATGAGTATATATACAGTGCGTCCCAGAAAAAACGAAAACGAGAATTATCGATGTTTTATCATTACTTAATCATAATTATAATTAATAAATTACACATATTTGTAAAGCTTATACTCAACTCATATGACGCATATTTCATGCATGAGTGATTAAGATGAATTTGAAGAGAGGAAACCAAAAAGTCATTTGGCGGACGGTATCTGAATTTCAAAGAATAAATCACATTTCTAAAAAGTTGTGTTTCTGCCCTTTCATATGACACCTCAGTCAGGAAAAATCAGCTAGGAATAACAAAGTTCTGTTTGTTTAAAGTAGTGCTTGCATTTCCATAATTGTATTAAACGGAGCAACAAGCAAAATTGACAAAAGACTTAACCCCGTTTCGTTGACAATCATCCATGCATGAAGTCTTTCGTCCACGACTGATTGTCAACAAAACGGCAGGCAGCCAGTGAAAACTAATTCGTTTGATAAATTTATGGAAATGCAAGCACTACTTTAAACAAACAGAACTTTGTCATTCCTTGCTCATTTTTCATGATTGAGGTGTCACAGGGGGGGGGGGGGGGGGTAGTAAGCACAATTGTTTCTATGTTTTTTTTTAGGGGGGGGGGGTAACCATGACTACAACGTATCAGTGTTTAGAAGAATATCGATCAATATTTACAGAGATACCGTCAATTGTTCATAAATATGCTGACGTCATAATATGCAAATTCGTATTTTGAGTTCAATGGCTATTATTTTTTTTAAAGACCAATTTTGACATTTTGACATTTTGACATGGTTTGGTATAGGCATGTTTCTGCCCATATCAATTTACAAGAGCTCGCACGCACGGACATTTATCTTTAACGGACGCTCATTCCGTTAGTAATGGTCATAATGAGATAAATATGGTATCAAACTGTTCGGAAAAGTTTGTAAAATATCATGAAAAGAAAGGATAGCGATTGATAGCGAAAAAAAATGGGGAATGAAGTGAAAGAAAAAAAATGGCAATTCTATGTTCCGTACGGCCATGACGAACGAAGATGCGCGCGGGCAAAATTGCGAAATGCTTAAAATGGCCTGAAACGTTTGCAAAATGAATTTTTAACGATTTTGAGCATTTTAACATTTTTTGCGCACACTGACGCGCGGACGTATGCATACGCGCACGTTCATTGACCTTAAATTGACCGGACGGATATTGACCTTGATCATGATAAATATGAATCAGAAAGGACTTTCCGTTATGAAGATATGACAATAAATTGAATGTAAAAAAAAAAAAAAAATCAAAAAAAAATCAACAACTAAAAATCCCCCCCCAAAAAAAAAAAGCGGCACCTGGATGACGTCATGAAGACCTGACCTATAACTGTGCCAATATTGAAAAAATTGGCTGAACCAATTTTGTGTAATTCTCGGCACAAAAAAGCGGGACACATAAAAATAAATAAATAAAGAAGAAAGAAAGTAAATCCTGACGAAATCAAAAGGTGCTTTGTCGATGACAGATCACCTGATAACTGTATAATCTATTGCCTGTAGTTATCTTTTCAAATTGGGAATATCTAATGACGATGAATGCCCAAAATGTAATATAAAAGAGGATATAAATCACGCATTTATCGAATGCAAACTATGAGCCCTTCATTAAACACCTGCAAGAAATATTACGAGATATATACAAGGTAAAGATATTGACGTTCAGTATCCAACACTTGCTCAAAATAGATTGTGAAAATCATTGTACTTTACTCCTAACTATAGATTGTGGGACCATTTACAAATTGATTGTCGATCGGAATATGACAGGAATAGACAACAAAAAACGTTGCTTCCGAACAAATCTTCCAAAGGGAAATTAAAAAAAGAGTGTAAAGTCAATCATATATTAATATGACCAGAAAGCACATGTTTTTACCAAAAGAGTTGTTACGTGTTAGTTATAAATGAAACTTTAAAAGGAAACAAATTATCAGTATAATTTTTATGTTAATGATGATTCAGATGCTGTGCAAAACAAAACTGAATTTCAATTCTTTGTTATGCCAATAATAATGCTTTGTGATTATGTCAGTTTGATTTGTATCATTGTATCTTTGAATGTAAAACATGTATACCTAATAAATCCTCTGATGAGGCAAAGAAAAAAACTTATTTGTAGAATGATCGCAAAAACTTTCAAAGATATCAACCTAGGGCAATTCCTATTGCCTAGTATATGCGTCGAATTTTGAAATGAACGCACAATGACATATTGCATAGTCAGACCTTGATATCTATATAAATACAATGGGATGTTCAAAATACTCTAAACTTGACTTCTCGAAAGTCTGTTTCATTGGCTTTGGCCAGGCCTTTAATACCAACAAAAAATAAATGTGATATAGATTTATATTGGTCTCCCACGATACTTTTGTATATGCCACCTGTCATGCCACCTGTTTTTTGGACATGTAATGAGTCTACTAGAACATAATTTCGAGCTTACACACACACCATTACCAATTTTGTTGCCATTATGTTATTAAAATATTCAATCACTCGCGGAATGGGACCTACTAATCACAAACACATAAAATGCATCCTCTTGAAACGTGGCAGCAAAAGAGGAGTGCTCATAAACTGGTTCGTGGTTTCTAAACTTCGAGGTTAGCTTGCGGTTAAGTACCGTGTGGACGATCGTGGCTTTGGATGTTTGTAATTTTACTCTAAGTTCTAAAACAAAGAGCAATTGTTAACGCGAAATATGAGTAGCTTGGGAGGGGGGCACAATGTAACTTCTTTAAATTGTATTTACGATTGCTTGGCGAATTCCGGCCTCGTATCGGCGTCTTGTGAACCATAGTCGTTAGTTGGTCGTTATTTAAAACTTCGAGGTTTTGATGTTTTAAACCACGATCGTATGAACATTACTATAACCTAAAGTGTTCTCTCGCAAAACAGTGTTCTGTTCATTAAATTAGACCAGACTTATTCTATATAAAGAACATAAAATGAATCAATGAATGAATGAATGACTAAGTTGATGAATTCGTGAATGCATTGCTAAATGAATGAATTGCTGTATGACTGACCAAATTGAATGATTGAATGAATACCTGCATACGTGATTGGTTTAAGGTTTGCTCATTAAAATTGATCATAATTTCGAGTAATAGCAATTTAAATTGCTTTTGTCACCCCTGACCAGCAGATTGTATCCTTCTCTCTATCTCCTCTCCACTTTCCTAAAGCTGTTTGAATGTATTATGACATGTCAATGTATTATCTGATTGTTATACTCACTGTATGTTTTCCGATTGGTCAAATAAATAATAATAATAATAATAATAATAATAATTAATTCCTTACTCACCATCACCATGAATAATAATAATAATAATAATTATCCTTGCTTATATAGCGCTAACACTTACTTTATCAGAAGTCTCTAAGCGCTCTACAATAATGCAGGATGAGACTGGGTAACAACAGCAGCAGCAGCAACAACAACAATAACCTCTGAACAGAAATGACTAATTGCAAGCGGTGAGCTAAACTTTCTGAAGATCGCAAGAGCAAAAATAATAGTTATTTAGGGTACAAAACGCCCTGCTTCAAAATTTATTTCTCGTACTTCCGGAAGTACTACCTTGTCAGTAATTTTCCACGAGGAATTATTCGACACAACTATAAGTATACATTTCTAGCATGGGTGTCGATTTGTATCCGTGGTTGGGGGGAATGATAGGTGCCAAAATATTTTCGGCAATGGATAAAAGCAACCAAGAGGTAGAAGCGTGTGGCAGGTTGCACCCCCTCTCTTCCAAGTTATTAACTTTTTCGAGTCACCCTCAATAAAGATATAACATGTCAGAGGATATAAGAGTGGTAATAAAATTAACTAGAAATGCAATCGTGTCACAACGATGTGCGTGCAATGACGCCATGTTTTTACGTGTCAAACGAAAAAGCGTCTCTCGGACTATCCAGAGCAATTTGTACGAAGTCTGTAGCTTCTGTGATATTGGAGATAGGTAGGGCGAATGAAAGGCCTCAACAGTGACCTTGGTGGGATGGTAGTGACTATGCCTACGAAGTTTGAAAGAAATTGGGATAGGGGAAAGAACCTAGAAAAGGGCTCGCAAGCAGTGCGTGCAAAAACCAATCGGATTTGGTGCATGTTCGTCATTGCAATAAAGATCGTTCTGGGGGCCAAAAGCATGTACCCGATATGCCCCATAGACAATGCGTGTAATGCATGGGTGGAAACCGTACAGGATCTGTATTATGACCGGGGTTAAATTGTTTTTTCTCTC